GCTATTATTTCATGTAGTTTCAATGGTAAAAAAAAGTGGAAGTGCACACGTCTATACATTGACAAAGACTTCACTAAAACAACAGCAGCCTTACTTGTTTCTGTTTACTTGAGTCCACAAAATGGCGTCGAAGTCAGTTCTTTGTTTGGCCTCCATTGGCAGCAATTACTGCTCGGCACCGTCTCTGCACAGACTGGATAAGTCGATGAAGTCACTCTTGCGGAATTCTTCCCCACTCTTCCTGCAATGCGATGGCCAGTTGTGGAAGTGTCTGAGGCGTATTTTGACGTTGACGTACTCGTCGATCGAGTTCATCCCATAGGTGTTCTATCTGGTTTAGATTAGGTGATCGGGAAGGCCATGGCAAGACATTGACATTAGAATTGGTAAGGTAGCGGACCATAAGGCGTCCTGTAGTTGAAGTAGCGTTGTCATGCTGGAACAACTCCCTCTTTCGGAAGCAGGACGTCATTGATGTACCGACTTGCTGTCAGATTCCCCTGAACCACAACTAAATCAGATCTTTATGTGCTAGATGTCGCACTCCACACTATGACACTGCCTCCACCGAATCTGTCGACCCATCAAATGCAATTAGGGGCAAAACGTTCATTTCTCTGACAGTAAACATGCTGTCTTCCATCTCACTGATGAAGAAGAAATCGCGATTCATCACTGAACTAGAATCGACTCCAGGTACCAGTTCAGGACTCTACGATACCACCGCAAGTGACTGTGCCGAAGGAAGTATCTCAAAATTAGGGTATTGGCAAATAAATTTGATTGCAATATATTGTGATTCTGGTACCCGTATTCCGATACGTGTTGCGATGTATTGGGAGCCTCAGTGTTTGACAGTGAGTGACATTGATTGTACATGCAGAGCCTATTTTCTACATGCTAAAGCCATAAAAATAAACTTAATGGTTGTGATAACAGAAATTTAGAATAAAGATTTCATTTTGAAGCATTGTATTTTCTTTTTTATAAAATGTATGGTATGTAAAGTATGCTGTTTTGTCAATCAATTGTGAATGAAAGTCTGCATGGATTTGAAATTAAACCATAAAGATAACAACAACAAAAACCATTGCAATACCTAACATTTTAAAGGCGTATTGCGATATGCTCGTAATACCATGCAGCCCTACTCAAAACAGGGGCAACAACTGGCCTTCTTGGTCGAATTCCGACTTCACGCAATCAATTCCTGACAGTTTGATCGGAAATTCTTCTCAAACCATAGATGCGTTGTGCAGTCTCCAGTCGGCTGTGTCAAAACGACATAAATGAGCAACCCGGATGTAGCGGTCCTGGGCTTGGGTGGTAACTCTTGGACGGACGCTTCTTGGGTGGAATTTGTTTGCAGTAAACGAGCCCAAAGGCAAGATATGGTGCTCTGATGAACGTTGAAATGTTGGGCAACTGCAGACTGTGACTCCCCAGCTTCAAGGCAGCCAATGGCGATGTTTCGATTGGCGGCACTCAGTCGTGGCATGATGATTTCCTCTTTTCCAGGCAAAAACAAATGACAAAATAAAATACGTTTACTTTTTTATGATGATCGATAACCCATGGTTTTCTGCTTACTTGCACGTGCATTTTGTTTTGCATGTCTTCTTGGTGACGTATTAGTGAATATTTCTTCAAGCACTTCTAAAACAAGGGGACACGTTAAAATTGCTGTGTTTTGGCACTGAAGCATAAAGATGACGTTTTGGAAAGAAATAGTATATTTGTATTGTTTTTGCCTCAGTTAAATGAATCCAATATTCTCAAAATCACCTGGGACTGCCTCTGTGGTGTAGTGGTTAGAGTGGAAGGCTGCGGGTTCGATCCCCGACCGCGTCATACCAAAAGACGTTAAAATATGGTACTTGTTGGTCCCTGCCTGGCGCTCGGCATTAATGGGTACAGCAAGGACTGGTCGACCCGGAGTCAGTATAATGTCTGGGTGGGGTATTCATGCTTCACTGCGGCATGGTATCTCAGTGGGCTAGCAGTATAAAACCAGCTTCAGTCTGGGCTAGTACAAGCAGCCGCACATACACATACACACGCATGCACGTCGTCATATGAGCGAAATATTCTCAAGCACGACGTAAAACCCAATTTCACCTCACCTCACCTCAAAATCACCTGTGCGTTTGGAAGAGTGTAGATGGTGAACTGATAAATGACACCGCACTTTCACGGCACTGCTTTTGATAGGTGTAGACGTGCTCACAGCACTGTGCACATGGGTGTACGTGAGTATGTGTCTCGTTTAATGAGCTGTCCAAGGTGATGCCACTCACTTCTAGTATCTCTATCTGCAAATGTTTTGTGGCTGATATGATCATGTTGAAACAATAGTTAAAGGTCACATGCAACGTAAAACACAACTTTGCAGATTCTGATTCCTTTCGATATGGACTTACCGAAACAAATCATCAAAAATGCAAATTCAACTTATAAAGTTGAAAAATAACGCGATGAAAAAAACCGCTAGAAATCGGAGTTCAAACGATTCACTAATTTTCCCCCGACTTTTCGGGGGAAAACTGGTTTCAATTGCAGGGCTGCGCTCATAGCACGTGCGTAGTGAAATAGGTTCGCGCAACTTGGAAACAGGCTGTCCGGTGAATACTCGGTGAAGGCTTTGGTGTGAGCTATTTTCCTAATGTTTAGTTGATATCTCACAGGCGCGAGCTTTTTATATGTTATGACAGTAAATAAACTGTTTATATAATTTCATTTGTCTATTTCACCACACGTTCTTCTTACCGAGTCACTTTCTCAGTCATTGTCATTATTTAGTGTTGACAGAATTTCTAACTGTGATATAGATATGTCGTTGTCACAGACAAAACTCAATGTCTTGTTTTATTGACACCTGCGTGTCTGCCTGCCCGTCTGCTAATGACAATATTCAATACACAACTGCGATCACTGACCACATGCAATTTGAACTTAACACCAATCAGGCTATACACCATAAACAAAACGCATTGATTTATGGCCCGAGTTCGGTCTCTGTCACATTATGTAATTACACAGACAGGCAGGTGTGATACTTGAACAAATGACATGTTATGATGTCTGTTGATTGCAAAACGTTATACACAAAAAATGAGAATGTATTTACAAAACCAAACATCTCTATATATACACACACAATGAGCCGTGAGGGTATCTGCAAATGAACCAGCCATTACACTTGAGTGCACACCCACCCGCTCTGACTGGGTTCGGTATCCCAGCTGCTTCGTTTCTTGGGAAGTAAACCCAAGTTCAAAATATTGCACTTTTGATTTGTGATTGTACGCTTATAATTTTGTTTTTATGTTTTTTCATAATCAGCAATGTATATTATATGTTATGAATAAGTGATAATTGTGTTTTAATTATGTTTGATTTTTTGGTTGCATGTGACCTTTAAGAATACAAACCACTCCCACTTTTGCTCAGTTATAGAAGTTGATGGAGAGAATCCGTAGGTAATAAATATAATTACTGTGAAATACAAAAAATGGTGAAAAAGAATTATCAAGTTGATTCAGCTTTACGTGACTGGAATACGGATGTCTCTATATGGTTTCTCTGTGAATACACTACTTTGGGGTAGTACAGCGCAACTTGTCACTAGAAACTTCATTCAATAACCACCGTAAAGAGTTCGCTGTGTAAATTAGAGTTCGACATGAAATTGTTCTTTCAAGGATGAAAGCTCGAAAACGGTACAAAACTAAGCATTCAAATTTGGCACAAAGATAGTTTGATACTCTAAATGTTGGTACATTTTATTTTTCGTTTATACAGGAATGATACGTTAAACTTTGTTATATATATGCATCTTTACGGAAACATAGCCGAAGCTAGACATTGTTTTGCAGGCTCATGGGCTTGTATAATGAAAATGGAAAGATGTTTGGTATGATTACGCACATGTGTCTTCTATTTTACAGCATGAAGTTTGGGGACAATGTGACCTATACAAATATAGAAATTGACAAGTTACGCCTAAAAAATAAAACTTGCTCACCTCTCACATGATAATCGTTCACTTCCATGTTATGAAATATTTCCTGCCGTTCACTGCTCCTATGGTGTGTACCTTGTGGGACTACAATCATTCACGCTTCAGACAGATCATAAACCTTTGGCCACATTGATCATCTGCCATGATCTCAATTGTGTGGCATTACGTTGTCAGTGCTTGCTTATGAGACTTCAACATTTCAACACCATTGCTGAATATGTACCAGGCAGAAATCTCATTGTACCAGACACACTGTCTCGAAGCCCTTTGCCAGAGAAGGTTGAAGAAGTTTGTCTGGATGAGGAAATAGCAGACCATGTTGCACCAGTTTCAGATGCTAGGGTCAAATGCATGAAAAGGGCCACAATGGCAGTTATTTGCAGAGAGCAATACAGCTACCACAGTCTACCAATAGCACTCAAACTCACACTGAAGTGGACAGCAACCTGCTGCTGAGTTTGACCAGATTCCAAAAGGCCTATAGCCTGACCCCTTCCAGCAATGCATGTGTATTGTCCTCCACTTTCCATGGATAGAGCGACTTGCACGTGCAAATCATTCACATTAAGTGTTAGGTGGATTTCCATATTGACAATTTGAAGAAAAAAATGTGCCATTTGTAACAAAATGTATCGGACGTTAAAGAACGTAATAATGACATTTCAATGGCCTGATTTCTTTTTCCACACTGTTATGAAAGTTTGTAAAAAAAATCAGTTGTATATATTTCAACCGAAAACGAAGATTTTACAACTTTTAAGAAATAGTGTTACCAATAGCTTCACCTTTCATTAAACAAGCACACACACACACACACACACACACACACACACACAACAAATCTATCTGCATATAAGAAAATAATAAAAGTTATTTTGATATGGCCATGAGATCTTAAAGTACCAATTCATGTATGGTATAGAGGAAATAGACTCCTTGGCACACATTAACTACATTCTGGCAGCTTCATGTGTTTCAGCAAGAGCCATGACAGAGTGTCTGAAAGTGATGAGGCAGAACAAACCGCCAAGTTAAAATGTGACTTTGATAAAGGTGAGTGCAAGGAGGATATTCAGTTTATAATGTCATGCAAGTGTAACATGATAACTCTTTAAGGTTAAGTATCAACAGCTGGAATTCTGACACCCATGTAGCTCACCTGACTGAATGTCATTTCCATTTGTATTTCCAGCATCTTCTGAAACCACATGACCTTTGGAACTGACACTTTGTTTGAATTATTCCAGCTATGGTTCTCTTGAATAACCCACAGAATTTGGATATGCATTTAAATATGGCTGCCATGACAACTATACACAGAAAGATATTATTCAGCCATGTTTTTGTCTTTTTATTCCATATTTTGTGATGTAGTGGGCAATACAAATCACAGTGTGTGCAAAACTGGAAATCCATATCTTACATCCTATTGTATGCAACAATTTATTATTTTACCAATCTGGCTGCTGTGTCACTTAAAGCCAAAACAGCCATTGCTTCTGTCATCAAGTCAAATCATCATGATTAGCGGTTACAGCAAATGACAAAAATGCTCATAAAAATTGAGTAATTTAGAGGCCAGATCATACCAGGAATATGTTTTAGAGTTACAGCTGTATGTCGTTCACAAAAACTAGATAGCTTGATTGTTGACAAAGTCACAGTTCAGTTTGTAAAAAGAGGACAAAGATGAATCACTTTCATCTCACAATAATGTAGGTCCACCATGCTTTCCCTAGACAGGGAGAGTAGCTATACAGGGAGAGTAGCTATACAGGGAGAGATCCCTATACAGGGAGAGTAGCTATACAGGGAGAGTAGCTATACAGGGAGAGTAGCTATACAGGGAGAGTTCCCTATACAGGGAGAGATCCCTATACAGGGAGAGCTCCCTAGACAGGGAGAGTAGCTATACAGGGAGAGTTCCCTATACAGTAGTGTTGGGAATTGGTTAAAATCTCATAATTGATGATTGCTTCATTGCAACCGATCAATCATCGAAAATAATTGGTTAGCGTCATTTATGAAATTTTCCTGGTTATTTTTGTTAATGCACAAAAACATATAGAAGAAAAATGTAGTTCTTGGGAGGTCTTTTTGGCAAATTTCACATCTTGAAAGAATGACTAGTATGTTAGGAACATAAATTTCTTGGGGTCTTTAAGATAAATTCAATCATGACGTGGAACGAGCTTGTAGTGCTCAGGAAATGTAACTGACAAAACCAACCTTGTGAAAAATATTGTTAATGCAAAAAGTGTTCCAGAATTGTTTGTGTTCGATTATAAGAAAACATGATAGATTGCTTGGTCGTTTAGTCACTGCGACCAATCTTCGATTATTTCAATTAATCGGACCACCACTTCTATACAGGGAGAGATCCCTATACAGGCAGAGTTCCCTAGACAGGGAGAGTAGCTATACAGGGAGCTCCCTATACAGGAGAGAGTTCCCTATACAGGAGAGTAGCTATACAGGGAGAGCTCCCTATACAGGGAGAGTAGCTATACAGGGAGAGTCCCCTAGACAGGGAGAGTAGCTATACAGGAGAGCTCCCTAGACAGGAGAGAGCTAGCTATACAGGGAGAGTAGCTATACAGGGAGAGGAGTAGTAGCTATAAACAGGGAGAGCTCCCTATACAGGGAGAGTAGCTATACAGGGAGAGTAGCTATACAGGGAGACAGGAGAGAGTAGCTATACAGTGAGAGCTCCTAGACAGGGAGAGCTATACAGGAGAGGTAGCTATACAGTGAGAGAGTCCCTATACAGGGAGAGTAGCTATACAGTGAGAGTAGCTAGACAGGGAGAGTAGCTATACAGGGGGAGAGTAGCTATACAGGGAGAGTAGCTATACAGGGAGAGCTCCCTAGACAGGAGTAGCTATACAGTAGCTATACAGTGAGAGAGCCTATACAGGGAGAGTAGCTATACAGTGAGAGATCCCTATACAGGGAGAGAGTAGCTATATACAGTGAGAGATCCTATACAGGGGAGAGTAGCTATACAGTGAGAGCTCCCTAGACAGGAGAGCTATACAGTAGCTGAGAGCTCCCCTAGACAGGGAGAGTAGCTATACAGGGAGAGTAGCTATACAGTGAGAGCTCCCTAGACAGGGAGAGTAGCTATACAGTGAGAGCTCCTAGACAGGAGAGTAGCTATACAGTGAGAGTAGCTATACAGGGAGAGTAGCTATACAGAGAGCTCCCTAGACAGGGAGAGTAGCTATACAGGGAGAGCCCTAGACAGGGAGAGTAGCTATACAGTGAGAGCTCCCTAAACAGGGAGAGTAGCTATACAGTGAGAGATCCTATACAGGAGAGAGTAGCTATACAGGGGAGGGAGAGTAGCTATACAGTGAGAGCTCCCTATACAGGGAGAGTAGCTATACAGGGAGAGTAGCTATACAGGGAGAGTAGCTATACAGGGAGAGTAGCTATACAGTGAGAGCTCCCTAGACAGGGAGAGTAGCTATACAGGGAGAGTAGCTATACAGGGAGAGCTCCCTAGACAGGGAGAGTAGCTATACAGTGAGAGCTCCCTAAACAGGGAGAGTAGCTATACAGTGAGAGATCCCTATACAGGGAGAGTAGCTATACAGGGAGAGCTCCTATACAGGGAGAGTAGCTATACAGTGAGAGCTCCCTATACAGGGAGAGTAGCTATACAGTGAGAGCTCCCTAGACAGGGAGAGTAGCTATACAGGGAGAGTAGCTATACAGTGAGAGCTCCCTATACAGGGAGAGTAGCTATACAGTGAGAGTCCCTATACAGGGAGAGTAGCTATACAGGGAGAGATCCCCTATACAGGAGAGTAGCTATACAGTGAGAGCTCCTATACAGGGAGAGTAGCTATACAGCTATACAGGAGAGAGGAGAGTAGCTATACAGGGAGAGTAGCTATACAGGGAGAGCTCCCTATACAGGGAGAGTAGCTATACAGGGAGAGCTCCCTAGACAGGGAGAGTAGCTATACAGGGAGAGTAGCTATACAGGGAGAGTAGCTATACAGGGAGAGTAGCTATACAGGGAGAGTAGCTATACAGTGAGAGCTCCCTAGACAGGGAGAGTAGCTATACAGGGAGAGCTCCCTATACAGGGAGAGTAGCTATACAGTGAGAGCTCCCTAGACAGGGAGAGTAGCTATACAGGGAGAGCTCCCTAGACAGGGAGAGTAGCTATACAGTGAGAGATCCTATACAGGGAGAGTAGCTATACAGTGAGAGCTCCCTAGACAGGGAGAGTAGCTATACAGGGAGAGCTCCTATACAGGGAGAGTAGCTATACAGGGAGAGCTCCCTAGACAGGGAGAGTAGCTATACAGGGAGAGCTCCCTAGACAGGGAGAGTAGCTATACAGTGAGAGATCGCTATACAGGGAGAGTAGCTATACAGTGAGAGCACCCTAGACAGGGAGAGTAGCTATACAGGGAGAGCTCCCTGGACAGGGAGAGTAGCTATACAGGGAGAGCTCCCTAGACAGGGAGAGTAGCTATACAGGGAGAGCTCCCTAGACAGGGAGAGTAGCTATACAGGGAGAGATCGCTATACAGGGAGAGTAGCTATACAGTGAGAGCACCCTAGACAGGGAGAGTAACTATACAGGGAGAGCTCCTTAGGACAGGGAGAGTAGCTATACAGGGAGAGCTCCCTAGACAGGGAGAGTAGCTATACAGGGAGAGCTCCCTAGACAGGGAGAGTAGCTATACAGGGAGAGTAGATATACAGGGAGAGTAGATATACAGGGAGAGATCCCTAGACAGGGAGAGTAGCTATACAGGAGAGAGTCACTAGACAGGGAGAGTAGCTATACAGGGAGAGCTCCTAGACAGGGAGAGTAGCTATACAGGGAGAGTGAGGAGATCCTAGACAGGGAGAGTAGCTATACAGGGAGAGAGAGCTCCTAGACAGGGGACAGCTATACAGGGATAGGGAGTAGCTATACAGGGAGAGTTCCCTATACAGGAGAGTAGCTATACAGGGAGAGTTCCCCTAGAGGGAGAGATACAGGGATAGATGCAGCTATACAGGGAGAGTAGCTATACAGGGAGAGTAGCCATACAGGGGAAGTAGCTATACAGGGAGAGTAGCTATACAGGGAGAGTAGCTATACAGGGATAGTTCCCTATACAGGGAGAGTAGCTATACAGGGATAGTTCCCTATACAGGGGAGAAGTAGCTATACAGGGAGAGTAGCTATACAGGAGAGTAGCTATACAGGGAGAGTAGCTATACAGGGGAGAGTAGCTATACAGGAGAGTAGCTATACAGGAGAGTTAGCTATACAGGGGAGAGTAGCTATACAGGGAGGCTATACAGGGATAGTTCCTATACAGGGAGAGTAGCTATACAGGGATAGTTCCCTATACAGGGAGAGTAGCTATACAGGGAGAGTAGCTATACAGGGAGAGCAGCTATACAGGGAGAGTAGCTATACAGGGAGAGTAGCTATACAGGGGAGCAGCTATACAGGGAGAGTAGCTATACAGGGAGAGTAGCTATGCAGGGAGAGCAGCTATACAGGGAGAGATCCCTATACAGGGAGTAGCTATACAGGGAGAGTAGCTATACAGTGAGAGCTCCCTAGACAGGGAGAGTAACTATACAGGGAGAGCTCCCTAGACAGGGAGAGCAGCTATACAGGGAGAGTAGCTATACAGGGATAGTTCCCTATACAGGGAGAGCAGCTATACAGGGATAGTTCCCTATACAGGGAGAGCAGCTATACAGGGATAGTTCCCTATACAGGGGGAGTAGCTATACAGGGAGAGTAGCTATACAGGGATAGTTCCCTAGACAGGGAGAGCAGCTATACAGGGAGAGTAGCTATACAGGGATAGTTCCTAGACAGGGAGAGTAGCTATACAGGGAGAGTTCCCTAGACAGGGAGAGCAGCTATACAGGGAGAGTAGCTATACAGGGAGAGTAGCTATACAGGGATAGTTCCCTATACAGGGAGAGTAGCTATACAGGGAGAGCAGCTATACAGGGAGAGCAGCTATACAGGGAGAGCAGCTATACAGGGATAGTTCCCTATACAGGGAGAGTAGCTATACAGGGAGAGTAGCTATACAGGGAGTAGCTATACAGGGAGAGTAGCTATACAGGGAGAGTAGCTATACAGGGAGAGTAGCTATACAGGGAGAGTAGCTATACAGGGAGAGCAGCTATACAGGGATAGTTCCCTATACAGGGAGAGTAGCTATACAGGGGGAGTAGCTATACAGGGAGAGTAGCTATACAGGGAGAGTAGCTATACAGGGGGAGTAGCTATACAGGGAGAGTAGCTATACAGGGGGAGTAGCTAGACAGGGAGAGTAGCTATACAGTAGCTATACAGGGAGAGTAGCTATACAGGGGGAGTAGCTAGACAGGGAGAGTAGCTATACAGGGAGAGTAGCTAGACAGGGAGAGTAGCTAGACAGGGAGAGTAGCTATACAGGGAGAGTAGCTATACAGGGAGAGCTCCCTAGACAGGGAGAGCAGCTATACAGGGAGAGTAGCTATGCAGGGAGAGCAGCTATACAGGGAGAGTAGCTATACAGGGAGAGCAGCTATACAGGGGGAGTAGCTATACAGGGAGAGTAGCTATACAGGGAGAGCTCCCTAGACAGGGAGAGCAGCTATACAGGGAGAGTAGCTATACAGGGGGAGCAGCTATACAGGGGGAGTAGCTATACAGGGATAGTTCCCTATACAGGGAGAGTAGCTATACAGGGATAGTTCCCTATACAGGGAGAGTAGCTATACAGGGATAGTTCCCTATACAGGGAGAGTAGCTATACAGGGAGAGTAGCTATACAGGGATAGTTCCCTATACAGGGGGAGTAGCTATACAGGGATAGTTCCCTATACAGGGACAGTAGCTATACAGGGATAGTTCCCTATACAGGGACAGTAGCTATCACCCTTGGTGGCACTGGATGGAGTGTGGGTTCTATACAAACAACTCAGTGAGGCAAACTCCACAGCCAGTTATATCACCATGCAGCATGGTTTACTTGGTACATCCAAGACTCCATTCGTCATCCTTTCATTATGAAATACATCTAGAAAATCTGCCATAAAGGAATCACTTCGTACTGTCATCTATCGCAACAGCGGTTTGAGGAAGTAATGTTGAGGATCAATACACAACATATTTAGGTGTGAAATACAAACTGCCTGTTATCGTAAAGAATAATCAACACAATGAGGGAATATGTATATCGTATACTACCGTAGATAAGCCGAATTTTGAGGAGCAAAAATAGCAGTCTGTAGAAGGGGTCAGCTTATTTATGGGTTTCACTTTCGTCAAACTTTTTTTCAGGGGGTAAGAAAACGACATTGTTTCGCTTCGCGTGAACAAACAAACAAGACAACTTCATCAGTAAATTTGTGTCAAATTTGCAATTAAACATCACTAGACAAGATTATTTACCTATTCAGTTCTAATTTGTTTATGCTGGGATTAAGATTATTGTGTGTAATTGTCTCATATACAGCGCCGGAAATAGCAATCAGCTGTGCAGTGCACACTTTACCCTGCCGGTGATTTAGGTAAAACGTACCCGACAGTATAACAAGATGAATTCTCTCTCATTCTATTCCTCCTTCTTCCTCCTACATTACATGCACACTGCACTTACTCCCAAATATGGATGGCAGTGGCCCTTGAAAAATGGTTGTGAAAGAGTGTGCAAATGTACATGTCACATATTTTGCATTGTGTAAATGCTGACTAAATGTAAAGTTTTATTTACAGCCCAACAACAATCGCACGACCTTGAGACAGAGGTGTTCAAAAGTCTGAGCGAAGAAAACGATGATCAGGTTCAAAATGGTGGAAGACGAGTTTCTTTTCAATTGGACAATCTACCGACTTCTTCTACCAACAAATTGAGGCGATTTAGAAGGTTTGCATTTACCTAATATCTGGAAGAGTCTCTTAAAAGAACATATTAGCGGGGCAAGGTTTTGCTTCAAACACGATATGCAGCAGCAAAGGCCATAAGGTTTACTTGAAACAAATTGTAATTGATAATAGCAGAACCAATTTTGTTCCCTTCCTGGTTTAAAAGAGATAATTAGGAATGGGACTCTCTCTCCTTAAGACAAATGAATATGTCATGAGTGACTCTGCTCTTAAGCACAGCCTTAAAAGGTGAACACCATAAAGAGGTAAATGCACTGACAGTGTCACATGGAAGATACCGATTCAAAGTCAAATCTTCAAATAGTCATTTCAAAACTTGATGGGATGGCATCTAGAGCCAGTAGGAAGTCTGTTGGGGATACAAGGGGTAGACTTCTCTCATTCATTTGAAAAGAGAATGGTTATTTGATTTTCATTAAGGAGGGTTTTCCAGACCAGCAAGGGCTAAGGAGGTTTTCAAGTGAATGGTGATTTCTGTAGAGCAAGTAGAGCAAGTAGAGTAGTGCAACTACTGACAGGACCCCGACATAGCTTCATGCTCCTGAATGGTGTGTTATTATGGACGTTGGAGGGAGAGGTGACAACAACCAGCATCATTAAAGACCTGGGCCTAGATTTTCCCTCTCTTAGTGCTAAGATATTCGTAAGAGCCATACATTAACATTAACTTACGACTATCTTAGCGCTAAGAGAGCTTCGAAAATCTAGGCCCTGCCTTATTGTATTTACATGCAAGATGCTGATGGTGTTGAAGACTATGACCATTTAGTATACACTTCAACACATGCTGGATGTTGAATGTGTTGAAGACTATGACCATTCAGTATACACTTCAACACATGCTGGATGTTGAATGTGTTGAAGACTATGACCATTCAGTATACACTTCAACACATGCTGGATGTTGAATGTGTTGAAGACTATAACCATTTAGTATACACTTCAACACATGCTGGATGTTGAATGTGTTGAAGACTATGACCATTTAGTATACACTTCAACACATGCTGGATGTTGAATGTGTTGAAGACTATGACCATTTAGTATACACTTCAACACATGCTGGATGTTGAATGTGTTGAAGACTATGACCATTTAGTATACACTTCAACACATGCTGGATGTTGAATGTGTTGAAGACTATGACCATTTATATACACTTCATTTAGTATACACTTCAACACATGCTGGATGTTGAATGTGTTGAAGACTATAACCATTTAGTATACACTTCAACACATGCTGGATGTTGAATGTGTTGAAGACTATAACCATTTAGTATACACTTCAACACATGCTGGATGTTGAATGTGTTGAAGGTCCTGAAAATTTAGATTTCACTTTACAAATGCATAGGTGCATTATGTATTCTACCATTACTTCAGTAAATACTGGATTGTGACTGGTTAATCAAAGTCATTCAGAGGTATATTATCATGTCATACAGGTCTATGATTTTCCATATGCGGTAGTGCACTATATAACTGCTGATATATAGATATAGATTATCGCCATTTTGCTGTCGGAAATTACACACGTCTTTGAAGATGGATTTAGCAATGATGAGTTTGACTCATTACTTGCATAAATCACAGAAATAGATTATGATACATGCAAAATTATTTCACAAGTATAGAAACAAATGTTCAGTCGAACAAGATCAAACATCGTCGCCTTTCCGAAAAATAATTCAACAAGGAAAATATGTTTAAGGTGATTCTATGTTATGTCAAAATAGATTAAGCGATAGACTGCTACATAATTTCCATATTAAATTTATGATCAGATTTCAGTGACGATATGGCCTCTGATCTGGATCCAGTAATGGAGGATGCATTCAAATTAACACAACTGGGTTTATTAATTGTAACAATATGATATATTTATGAGAAATATGTACTGTTTCAAATTTAGCGGTAGTATCACACAATTACAGAAGATGTAAAATTCACTTAAAACCATTCTGTTTAGCCCAACATATTTTTCAAAAAAAGATAATATTGGTGAAAAAATTATTTAACCTAGTCGCAATCCCTTTGATCCATTATACTGTTTGATGTAATGTAAAAATGACTTACGCTTTGCATGTTATCAGATACAGTCAAACCTGCACTAGCCATTTTTCATATACAACATGAACAATACTATGTATCTACGCATACCTATGTACATGTAAACATCTGCTGGGAAATAATAGGTTTTGTAAAAATGACTTACACCTTGCATGTTATCAGAGGCAGTCAAACCTGTATTAGCTGTACTTCATATACAACATAAACAGTATTATGTATCTATGCATACTTGTGTACATGTAAACATCTACGCACACTTATGTACATGTAGATAAACAAAAATAAAAACAAAAATAAAAAAAATAAAAAATTATACTGCTTGATCTAAAGTAGTCTATTGAAGTTTCATTAATTACCTTACAGTATTTATGCCAGAGGTACATCCTTATGTCCTGTTCCATCCTTTCGGAAATATCCCCCAAAATCCAACTTTTTGTCATCCTCATTAATTTCCAGGGTATACATTCCGATAAATCTTCACTGTACCCTGGATACATCTACGGCTCGGACCCATGATTTTATTACCTCCCTTTGCTGGCTTTTTATCCAATCAGGTGTCTACGCTGGGAAGTTGAGCGTACCAATCACAACTCACTTTCGCTTCTTTTATCTAACCGATTAAACTTGGCAACATTACTGTTGCAGGGTACTCTGAAAGAGGTAGATAGAGTTCTTGCATATATATTTTTAAGGTTTCAGACCTGTCAGTTGGTCTGTATGATTTCCCCACAAATCTGAGTCGCACTGCGAACAAACCTTCACGGCTGCAACCGCTATCTTTGTTGACACTGGCAAGCTCGGTTGTAACGGCAGCTTAGCTGATTGGCTACTGTGAGAATGCAGAGCCAAGGGAGGTAATAAACTTACCAGGCCAAGCCAAAGATGCATCCAGGGTACTAGTGGAGATTTATCGTAACGTATACCCTGGAGATTATCGAGGAATAGTACTTGTCAGCAGTCTCACAAACATGCCAGCAAATCCACTTCCATGTTGTACACTTTCAAGTCACAAGGTCAGAATACACTTTCCAAAGTGTTGAAACTAATAACCATAGAATCGAATTTGAGCACAAGTACACAGTGTGTAAGGGCCACTACAGTGACTCTTCTGTCACAAGCATCAAAAGTATCTAAATTCGTACAATATGGACTCCTGATCACAGCAATAGTGACTCGCTCTTAAATTTTGCAATGTACCAATAATTAGCTATAAAAGACACTGTGTCAGTCATACAACCAAGTTAACCCTGCACAAACTGCCAGAAACTCTCCTGTCACATCTTTCCAAATTTCCAATATGCAATGTCATGGTAAACAATGACTACAGGGAATATGTCAAGGTAATGAAGTCCCTGCCATTATTCGGGTGGGTAAAGGGTCTACGGCAGAATTTAAAAGTGTGAACCAAGCTTTTTGAAAATATTCGATATATGTTTCCCAATTTATCAGTTAATGATTGGTGATTAATGCAGTGAAAAAATTTGTTTTTACATTTGTGTTTGTTGTTATTGACAGTTTTACCACCAATCACCCCATTTGGGTGAACCCGTGAAGGTCCGGGTTTGAATATTGATCATCAGTAAGTTAACCCATGCTTGTCGTAAGAGGCGACGAACGGGATCGGGTGGTCATGCTCGTTGACATGGTTGACACATGTCATCGGTTCCCAGTTGCACAGATTGATGCTCATGCTGTTGATCACTGGATTGTCTGGTCCAGACTCGATTATTTACAGACCGCCGCCATATAGCTGGAATATTGCTGAGTGCGGTATGAAACTAAACTCACTCACTCACTATTACAAGTAATTCAACATTTCCAGAAGATATCTTTTATTTCCTTTGGTTGGGGTAGAGGTGATGGGTTGGGGTTATAAGAAACGGACTTTTCTACTCATTCATTGAACTTTTGAATTGCTTCAAGCTAGTAGTACCAGCCAGCCTCATCCAAGTTGTAAATTCATCTTATTCGTGAACTCAGCTTTGACCAGATCTCTTAGAAAAAGCATTAGCTTTAAGGTTTTGTCTGAATTTGACCACTGTTTTTAGACCATGTGATGTTTAAACATCTCAGAGAATATAATCTCATTTATATCACATTTATGGCTTTAAATAAATTATAATTGACATTTGAAGTAGTCATGTCAATAGTCAAGGTCATCTTCCATACCAGGATGAAGCTCATTTCCACCAGAATACCTGCAAACAGTCTATAAGTCTAACGAATGTGGAGATTATTTATGATAAGTGATCACAACCTGTTAATATAAAATGTTAATCACTAACCTACTCTCACTAAAAATATCAAATGCAATTTTTGAAAGACCATCACCTTGGTCAAGTAAGTAGAAGATCAGTCCCAGGCTTTAAGCCAAAAGACATCATCAAAAGATGGTACTTTTGTTACTCTGCCTGGCACTTGGCTTAAACCATAAACCAAGGACTGTCAGCTGGGATGTAGTATACTATATCTTATCTGAGTGGGGTATTCATGTTAAACTGTTCATGGTTATCTCCATGATTACAACCTGGTTCGTCTACTGTTTAGGCCCTGACTATACCTGGATTGTCTAACCACGCATGAGTGATTTCCCCATGGGTCAGTGTGAACCGTTAAGTCACTGACCTGTAAAATCTGTTTGGGAGAGGCTATTGGAGATCTTGGGGGTCTCAAGATGCTTACCGGGGGCGCGGTGGGCGAGCTTGCTAAGGCGCCAGGCTAGTGATCAAGCGAGGTTGAGGTGCCGGGATCGAGCCCACCTGTGACCGGTTATAAAAACCTTGGAGTCAACTTTGTGTGCAGACTCTTTCTGTGTTACCACAACCCTTAGTGTACATAAAGGCTTGTGCAAGCATCCCAACACAAACACATGCATTCCCATCTGTATACATGTGTAAGTATAATACTCTAGAATGTTTAACCCCATTTCATCTAAACTCACCCCACCTCATCTAACCTCATCTCAACTTAACGTCAATTTACCTTATAACGCAGGGAAATCATTTAGTCACATTCATATACTGTAAATATAAAAAGGCAAGTGGTCTTTGCTCACATTACTTAAACTCCAAATTTATGCTTCAGAAATGACTGTTAACATGTTTGAATATAAAACCAAATAACTTTTTTTCCACAGCATGGTTTTATGAGCAGCAGTTTTAACAAGTGTATACCAGTAATTGAATGTGATTCAAACACTAGAAATTGCATGCTGGACATCATTGCTGTTGTGTTCTACTCACTCATGTCCAACTCGGCATCAAGGACTGACAGGACCTTTCGTTGTCTGTCTTCAACTCTTGTTTGCCTTCTCCATATACTGATCAGTGAAATATTTTATCATGGTTCTAAACAGTGCTCTACAGAATTATGATATTCTGCGTTAATAAGCAGTCATGTTTGCCGTTTGATTTGAATAATGTAAAAATTGGATTAAGGTAAGGCTGAAATACGACTGTAAATCACTTTAAAACAACATATTACATTAAGATTAATTTGGAGGCGTATTAATTTTATCATATCAGTATTATGTCATAGATCAAGGTCATATGCCAGATAATAGCCTGAAGAATAGTTTAACTCAGCTTGAGAAGGATTTACTGCTAGTTAATGAAACTTTGCAAAGTACATGTCATCTGTAAGGGTGGGACCACATTGGAAAAGTTCATAAGTGACCTAGTGTTAGGTCAAGGTCACAGGAGGGTCTTTATTCAGTTGCATACTTTCAGTGAGAAAATTATATTCATTTTTAGCTGACGGCACTGAAAGTCAGAAGCTCATTCCATGGTGTGTTTCAGTTGGCATGCATGATGTGTCCGATTTGCTGATCTTGCTGCCAAAAGTGTCATGATAGTCATCCATGTAATATTTACCTATTTCAAAGACGTTTGTCTGTGTTTCATTGTGTAGTTGATATAATGAAGTATAAAGGTTAGAATAACACTGTCTGTGTAAGCCTACATACTCATTGGGCTATATATGAACTACCGATGAAAAATACAAATGTTGTTTTGTAGTCATTTTAACTAATTGTTCAATTCTGATTACTGTTTTAAGGTACACAGAGGGCGATTTCCATCACCTAAAACGTTCTAAGATTGACAAGTCAGTACCACGTCAGTATTCCCTTGGTGCTAGGAGCTGGGTGGATGAAGCAGCACTTCGGGCTAGTATAGAAGAACAATTGCGGGAGGTTGAGGAAAAGACACGCAGAGAGTCCCTGCCAATACTTGACCTGAACAGCTCAGTATCACCAACACTTAAACCTATAAGAACGCAGGTAGCTGTAGAAATTCACCATCAACAAACTATGAACAAGTTAGATGAAAGAAAAGGCAGTCAAGAAGCAGGTGAATTTAGAAAAGATTTAAGACCACACCCACCTCAGAGTCTTCGAACAAGTCCTTCCCAAAAGTACTCACATAGTTTGGAAACAGTTAGCCCGACTACACAGAAAATGTACAGAGAAACAAGAAAAGTTAAAAGTTATGAGGACTTTGCTGATTATGATGTACTTAAAATAACAGAATTTTCTAAGGGACCTTTTTATAATACTGACTATGATGTGATATCAGAGTTAGGGTCTCCAATGTCATCTAAAGTACGATACAATGACACAGGAAGTCTAGAACAATTGAATGAAGAACAAGTGGTGTATCTAAATGACCTTGACCTTGAAGGAATAATGCCAGAAGAGAGTGATGACACAGAGACCCTTAATGGAACCCAGAAGTATCGGGAACTTTGGAACCTTCGAGCTACATTGGAGGATGAGGATGAGTGCAGTGACACAATAAGAATGGAGGACATGACATCACCTGAAGAATCCCCTGATCGTGAGCAACTTACACCATACACTACTTCATTTGAGTCTAACACAGAGGCAGCCAGTGATGCTGGGGTAAGTGATCTGAGAGATAACAGTATTCAGTGGGGAGGAGGAGCTGGACGAACTTCCTCAAAGAATCTTCTTCATCCAAACTATGAAAACAGACGTCAGAACTACAGGAACATTTTAACCAAGAGATTACAGAAAGCAGGCCCCAATACGAGCACTGAAAATAGTTTTGATAGTGTGGAAACTGATGGAGATGTATCCGACACCAGTCGCTATGAAGTCACAACGACATCTTTTGAGTCAACGACAGACAACACCGACAGTACAACAGAGAGCCAACAGAGCAAGTTAAGACAAATGAAGGCAGATAGCGGGTACAAGTCATTAGAAACACAGGGTTCAAGTAAAGAAACAGCGGATGTGGAGAAGGAAACATCTCCAGGAGCTACCTGTCTTGAAAACTCACCACCAAAATCTCCCCACAGATCTCCCAACAAGTCTCAACAAAAAACAACTCAAAATTCATCAGCGCCAGATCTGAAACCTGAAAGCTTGGGTAGTCCCAAACATGCCCCAAAACGATCTGGGCATGGATCCCATTTTGATCGCCGAAATGGCAAAACAGCATCCAAAAAGAGACGTGCCTACAGTCGTGAGAGGCAGATGGTTCGTGTTTATGAAAGTATCAATGAACCAGAAACAGATTCCAAGTCAGAACTGGCATCAGGAGACAGTTTCGAAGATAATACAATCCCAAGTAAAATTTCAGTTTTCAAGAGATTTTTTAAGTCTCACTCTCTTGAAACTCGTGAAAAATATTTAGCCAGAGATTATAGCATTGATGAAACTACAAACAAAATTTTTAATGACTTCATTCGCCCAGAGCCACACGACACTAGACTTGGTGCACGGCGTTCCCCACGCTTGCACTATCGGCACAGGCTGCATCGTAAACACACTGAACCTATCATAGGGGATGACAGGAGGCGCGACAGACTTGCACCAGACATGCGCAGTACCAGCCTTGGCAGTGATAGTAGTGCTAGCTCAGTACGACGACTCTCACCTCAAGATAGTATTGAAGAGGAGGATTTTGAAGAGGAACAGTCTGTATCTTGGTCTTGTAGGGAGAGGCAGTTTAGCCCAGATGATTCAAATCAACAAAAAGCCATTCATGGAATACCTATCATTAGACTTCCTGAAGAGGAACCAGAGGATTCCTAGCCAACATATTGATTGCATGATGGACAAAATTAGGAGATTATTAATTATCTTTTCTATTTTTCCCTTCAGGTAGATATTTACCTATCCATTATGACAAGACTGTAATTCCTAAAACAGTATGTATACACACTCTGGAAAACATAGAATGCATGCAGTATGGAGAGTAAGAATATGCATGACATTAAGTTCTCACACACCAGTAAGAAGAGATTCATGCATGCACATGTACACACTCACTCACACACTCACTCACACACACACACACACACACACACATATACTCTCTCTCTCTCTCTCTCTCTCTCTCTCTCTCTCACACACACACACACACACACACACACACACACACACACACTTGATTTATAACTGGGATATATATAAATATGTTTCGTCCTTTTTAACTTCATATATCTGCCAGGCATTCATTGGCATTAAGAGCATGTTAATACATGTTTATGAATTCCTAATGTCCTAAATCATCCCGGTTGCATGTGATAATATTGTATACCGGGCCATAACATACCAGGCATAACAACTGATATGATTGTTCAACATTACATTACCTCCTATAGATACACCTGGGAACATGTCTAAGATATGATTGACTTGTGTTGAGGTTGTATTCAGGAAGAAATACAGCCTTTGTTCCATGGTTATGCTGGACTGGCTCTTCACTGACCCCAGCAAGGACTGCACAATCCCAGGCTCCACTACTGGGCAGCACGCTTGATATATACTCTTGAACAGTTCCAAGAACATCCAAGAATGTTTCCAGGGAACCAGGCTGGCTGAAGGTTATTTAGAAAGTCATTTCCTAAGTCAACACATATATTTCATTCTGAAAATATTGACAGTATGTTTGCCAAATTAGTGAACTCACATGTCATTGGATGAGGTTGAAGTTTTAGGTCACAAATTGAGTATTAGGTATCAAAAATGTTTATGTACATAATAACTTGAGAAATCACATTATCGCCAGGGCAGGGATCTTAATTAAGGAAGACTTTCACGAACCTCATGGCCATAAGAAACGTACACACATGGAATTCATGATAATTTTAGACTTGGTTATGTTTTATGCATTTTCACCTGTCATGGGTCAAAAACATTCACACTTTTTCAGATTTTCGAAAGATATTCTACTTTACATGTTTGGCTTGGTGGTTGTTTTCTGCCGCACTCCATAGTTGCGTTTGGTGTGAAATATTCTAGAAATTATTTTGATGTCTTAAATTGGAGGTCAAGGTCATTAATGTGGAAGTTCCCGTAGGTTTGTCATTACGAAGGTATGGGACTTTCTGTTTCAAATCACTGGGCATGTCTTATCTCAAAGCATAATTACTTAGTCCAGAAGTAAGTATAACTTGTTCTGATGGTAGCTCTATATGATGCACTAAATGTACTGTATTAAATAACAGGTTTGACATGGGGTATTCCATGCATGAAGTAGATGCGACTGAAAGTTAAGTGTTTCAGCTCACCTGCCTGAAAGTTAAGTGTATTTGTTTCATCCAGGTAGTAGACATGTGAAACCTGCATCAGTTCCTCCCAAGCTGACATGCTGAGATGTACCTGGGATACTGTAGCTGCACTACACCCAGCTTCCACATCAATCTGTAATAGCATGGCCGCTCCAGGTGATGATGACCAGTAATACCTTGACATTGAGAATGTTCTGTATAGTTGTATCAGAGTACATGGTCTCCATAACAATCAACAGAGTGATTACACTTGCTCCTATAACGTCTCTTATGCCAAAGGTAGAAGTAGCATTGTGAAAACACAAACACTGTGTTTCAGTTATTGCTGCCACTTGAGACATTACTGTAGTATGTGCACTATGAACAGGATAAAGTGTATGCTCCTCGTCACATTCAGTGGATCTGTTCTAGTGCAATATCAGACAAGGCCTACACTATGTTTTGGAGAATTACCTCACATGTTGTGTATGAAGATCAGGAAACTGTTCAATAAGCTGACCCCAAAACATTTGCTCAAGATTACTTCTATTTGGTAACTATTGTGTTTCCAAATACTTTTACTCAAAAGCAAACTAAGATCCTGAGCTATGTTTGTGTGTTGATGTTCCTACTATCATAAGATCTCTATCTGGACACAGAGCCAAATCTTTAGTCTTCCGTAGCTATTTCACCTTGTCCAATGTTTTGAACCTTGTGTTTAATGTCCTATTTTGGGCTTTTCATGCAGGCATTAATGGAGCAGACCATATGTTGTCTTAATGCTTGAAGCAGCCTGTATGTACCCACCCATTGCCATGGGTTAGTAATATATAACTGAATATTGATGTGATGACAACAGAGCTACAATTAGCACATTAAGAAGGGATGATGTGCAGTGTGCCTCCCCTTACAAGTCAGCTGGGGTTCCTATCCACTTTCACACTGATTATTCTTGATTTGATAGCACCCTACATGTTCTCGTGATAAGCATTCTGTTTTGAATTTCCTTGAAGTGGCATGACATTATGTAATTGGAGCACTGTAGATAGCAGTGTCATATATACTATAACACAGTGCATATCGTTCAGTGACTTGTTTATATTGGCAGTGATATCGTTGGTACTTGCATTGCACAGATAAATGAACACAGATGCTGACTTGTCTTGTCTTGACTATGCACACCTGTGGATAAAAGCACCACTCACATGTTGTACCCATGTCATCTCCAGTGACTCATAAGAACATGATGCTTCATTCAGTGTGGCAGAAAGAGTGTGTGTTATGTATTTCTGTTGCCTCATCATGGGGTTGATGATACTGTGTGCAGCACTAGTGTTTCTACAAGAGCAATCAAGTTTGGTGTTTGTTGTGTGAAGCACATGGTTGGCATACTGTTATATATGGTTAATCCCAGTATATCATTCAGACCAGGTTGTAGATAACTTGGTTTAAACAATGCTGTAGCTATTATGTGACCATCTATCGTGTGTGTCATATAGTCGTACCTATCATGGTGTCTGTCATATAGTCACACCTATCATGGTGTGTGTCATATAGTCACACCTATCATGGTGTGTCATAAAGTCACACCTATCGTGGTGTGTCATATAGTCACACCTATCGTGGTGTGTATCATATAGTCATATAGTCACACCTATCATGGTGTGTCATATAGTCACACCTATCGTGGTGTGTCATATAGTCACACCTATCGTGGTGTGTCATATAGTCACACCTATCATGGTGTGTCATATAGTCACACCTATCATGGTGTGTGTCATATAGTCACACCTATCATGGTGTGTCATATAGTCACACTTATGGTGGTGTGTGTCATATAGTCACACCTATCATGGAGTGTGTCATATAGTCACACCTATCATGGTGTGTCATATAGTCACACCTATCGTGGTGTGTGTCATAGTCACACCTATCATGGTGTGTCATATAGTCACACCTATTGTGGTGTGTCATATAGTCACACCTATTGGTGTGTGTCATATAGTCACACCTATCATGGTGTGTCATATAGTCACACCTATTGTGGTGTGTCATATAGTCACACCTATCATGGTGTGTCATAAAGTCACACCTATCGTGGTGTGTCTTATAGTCACACCTATCGTGGTGTGTCATATAGTCACACCTATCGTGGTGTGTCATATAGTCACACCTATGGTGTGTGTGTCACACCTATCATGAGTGTGTCGTATAGTCACACCTATCGTGGTGTGTGTCATATAGTCACACCTATCGTGGTGTGTGTCATATAGTCACACCTATCATGGTGTGTCATATAGTCACACCTATCATGGTGTGTGTCATATAGTCACACCTATCATGGTGTGTGTCATATAGTCACACCTATCGTGTTGTGTGTCATATAGTCACATCTATCGTGGTGTGTGTCATAGCCACACCTACCATGGTGTGTGTCATATAGTCACACCTATTGTGGTGTGTCATATAGTCACACCTATTGTGGTGTGTGTCATATAGTCACACCTATCATGGTGTGTGTCATATAGTCACACCTATCATGGTGTGTGTCATATAGTCACACCTGTCGTGGTGTGTGTCATATAGTCACACCTATTATGGTGTGTGCCATAGTCACACCTATCATGGTGTGTGTCATATAGTCACACCTGTCGTGGTGTGTCATATAGTCACACCTATCATGGTGTGTGTCATATAGTCTTGGCGGTGGGGTAGCCTAGTGGTTAAAGCGTTGGCTCGTCACGCCGAAGACACGGGTTCGGATCCCCACATAGGTACAATGTGTGAAGCTCATTTCTGGTGTCCCCTGCCGTGATGTTGCTGGAATATTGCTAAAAGCGGCGTAAAACCAAACTCAGTCAGTCAGTCAGTCAGTCATATAGTCACACCTATCATGGTGTGTGTCATATAGTCACACCTATCATGGTGTGTGTCATATAGCCACACCTATCATGGTGTGTGTCATATAGCCACACCTATCATGGTGTGTGTCATATAGTCACACCTATTGTAGTGTGTGTCATATAGTCACACCTATCTTGGTGTGTCATATAGTCACACCTATCATGGTGTGTGTCATAGTCACACCTATCATGGTGTGTGTCATATAGTCACACCTATCGTGGTGTGTGTCATATAGTCAAACATATCGTGGTGTGTGTCTCATTTTTCCACACCTATCATGGTGCATGTTTTTTCACTACTACCAAGATGCAGGTTCTAATCACTACTGTCATGGTGCAGGTTACATAGTTTCCTAGGTTTGAGTTCTATCCTGTGTTGATGGTTGTGCCTGTGGTAGTGGGGGCTTTTGTTGCCACTAGTGACACTACATGTCAGGCAGCCTCATGTCGCAATCTGTAGTATTCACATCAATGCAAAATGGTCACAGCTTTTGTTAAATAGCTGTTAGCTGTGTAAGTTTTTCTGTCAAACTGTAATTCTGGAGTCCCATTTGTTATACAGTTATACTATTGATAGAAGGAAAATGTTACTTCACTTTGTTATCCTGGTGCAGGCTAATCTGCTGATATTGTATGGCACTCTTCACCACTTCATTCATGCTTTCAGTAAGCACATGGCTGTTGTCACTGTAACACTATAAGGCCAGTGTGAATATGTATTTATTGTTATGACAGTTGGAAGAGAAACATCAACTCAGTATATTGGAAATGTTTATCCTGTACGAAGAAGACAACATGCCACGTCAGAGTTAGTCCTACACCACGGCGTTTCATTCTAACGATGGGTTTTTAACTGATGCAATGCTGAGGATGTCTCTCCGGGATAAAACTATCCAGATAAA